TTGTTTTTGGTTTTTCTTCGTATTTTTTGTCGATTTGTTTTTTTTCTTATTGTTCCTCCACCCCCCCTTCTTCAGCCTGGTTGGTTCGTCGGCGGCGTCTGATGTGTATAATGTGCGGGTCGTTCTGTCTGTCTGTTTGTTTTTCTGTCTGTCTGTCTGTGTGCATGGAATAGGGCCTCAACGACCAATGTAATGAAAGCTCTGCGTAGAGAGAGGCTTCAGCCTTTGCAGTCTTGTGTCTCGGATCAACTCCTTGTCATCCGTGTGGCCCAGCATCGTGTTTCGGCGACAAGACAGTAGTTGTGGCAGATGGTGGTGGAGGATGGATTTGGGAGAGAAGAGATCAGATTAGGTAAGCAGAAATCGGGGTTTGAGCAAAAACAACCGCTGAACGTGGACTCGGAGGGAAAAAAGGTCAAGGAACGTGCTATTTGACATGGAGTCCAGCATACCAGACACTCGTTGACAAGAAAAAGGCAGTGGTGGTGGCTGATGGGAAGGTGGTGGGTGAATCGAACCTCCCACGAAATCAGAGTTTTGAACAGATACAGGCAATATGACGACCACCACCAGCAGAACAACTCGTACACACTCTCAATCACTCTGATTCACTCTCTTACAGTGTCCATGTACTGCAACGATCAGTTTCATATCATATTTTGTCCTGTCTTGTCCTGTTCTGTCTCCCACACAGACCCTGGACCGTGTACAAGTCATACAAGACATCCCAATTTACAGCAACACACCCCAGTTGTTCACCCACCACTGCTACCACCACCAACGCCATCAGAACAACACAGTAACTGTCTCATTCACACTCTGACCGTGTCTGTACACTGCAACAGTCATGTTTGATATCATATCTTGTCCTGTTCTGTCTCCCACACAAACCCTGCCCTGCAACACAAATCACAAGTAGGACACTGTCTCGATTCCTCAACCAACACCGCCTGAAAAACACGGAAACGGTCTCATTCACTCTTCTTAACAAGTGTATATCATGATACAATCAAGTTTGAGTCTCATTCACTCTCCTACCATGTCTGTATGCGGCAATAATCATGTTTCACATCATATCTGGTCCGGTCCTCTCCTGCATATCTCAACTCACCTCAACCAACACCATCGTTGACGACCAGCACGAGTCCAAACACCTCCATCACCCTTATTCCCATGCTCTCCTCAATATTCTACCATCTCAACCACCAAATTCGCAGAGCCTGGGCCGTCTGGGCGTGGCGGCGTCATCTCAGTCGCAGTCCACGGACAAATGGTGCTGCCATGGCCACGACACGACACTGCTCAAGTTCATTTGGGCTCTGACGTGTAACCAACGGATCCCCCCCTTCGTCCCAATGGCATACCGAGTCGATTCCTCCATCACACGAGACAATGCCGCCGTTTGGCATGATGTCACGTGGGAATTCACCAAGACCACGACCGACAAAGAGCCTTCAAGGCCCAATGACTCTCTCTCGACACTACTGGACCGAGTCACGGTGCTCCGCGGTGTGTGACAGTGTGGGATAAATCCATGCTGGACACAGGCACAACGCAGCGGACTCGAAATATCCCATTTCCACGCTCACAGGGCGATATCATTGACGTCGGCGGCGTCAACTCACGTGCTGCCAAGTCTCTTGACCGCTCCCTTGCATCTACATTCCACCTCACCGCAGTTGACACCTCTCGACATCACCCACAACACACCGAACACGGCGTCCTTTTGCTCAAGCAGGCCACGGAAGACAAACAACACAGCATCTGGAGTGTCTTGTGAGGTATTTGCGACCGAGGTGCGTTGCGCTGACCGTGCGGTGTTTGTGCTGGCCGAGCTCCGTTGTGCTGATGGCCGAGAACAGAAACCACCAACGCCGCCTCCACGAACGAAACCTCGATCCCCCCAAACATCGAAATGGCGACCCCTATGTCGAAAGAGGTGGGAGGAATGGGAGACATGGAAGATGAGACGAGAAGAACCCTGTACTGGCAACTTTACGACGGCATCTGCGCAATTGGAGAGCAGCACAAGGGACTGCTAGCGCAGATGGAGAGGCTGGCAGAAGATAGGGCGGTCTCTGGATATCTTCACGACTTGGAGGACAAGTTGGGCGAAGCGCTTTTCATCCTCGATACACGGAATCGACCCAGGGAGGAACACCACGACCACGGGCGCCGCGTTCCCACCGATGGACTGCATCGAACCACGGGGGAACATGCCACGGGCCGCCGCGCTCCACCGTTGGACGAAACCTTGCAAACGTACGAGCTGGAACTCCTCTTGAAAGAACGGAATCTGATCCGGCAATGGCAGCACGAGAAAAGGTTGCTCAACCAGAGTATGCTCGCATACAACAGGCAAGCCACGCGATTGTGCTGGCAAATGAGGAGCATAGAAGAAGCGAGGGAACATCAGAAGGGCATGAATGACAAGGACAGAAGGGAGGCCGAAGCGGAACGACAGCTTCGGCTGGACGCCCTACTGAATGAGGAGTACCAGAGGATGTGTATGCAGGAGGCAGCCTCCCGCGATCATGGACCGTCTCAGAAAAGGCAGACCGCTCCCATTTCCGCATGGTTCTGAACCGAGGAGGACTGCCATGTCGTCGTCGCGGGCACTTGGCCGCAAGAGTTGGTTGGGGGTATTGCGGACCTACCGCAGGCAGCAGGATGATATTTGTCTCGGGAGAGAAGGATAATTTGTGTAACAGCGGCAGCTGTATCGGTGGGAACAACAGTTGGACCAAGGGAAGGGGGAATCTGAGTTAGTAGTGGTAGTTTTCTGAGGAAATGGTCGGTTTTCCTGATATTTTTACCAAGTCGCTCGCCGCCGCCTCGGTGAGTCGGTAATTATCCGGGTCGCCTCCGAGTACTGCCGAGGTGCCAAGATGGATTCTCCAACGAAGTATTGACGACTCCAAGTCTCGTGGAGGTGCCACTCACGCACTTGTCGGCGGTGGGAGTACATGCTCGGTACATGCTCGGTACATACTCGGGACCTCAGACACAACCACAATCACCACGACAGCACTACACCACAACATGGCGACATGGGCCCGTGGGCTATCAGGTATCGGACTGTCAGGGATCGGGTCATGAGTATATCATGAATCATGTATTGTGTGGCAGAGATCTATCAACCAAGGGGAGACAGACTCACCCCGAGAGTACCCCGTCGAGGGAAACGAGGCTTGATATCGCCACATCACCATATCATCACACCACCAACAGCCATCAGGCTATCAGTCATGAGATATTAGCCAAGGGGGACAACTCAACTCAACTCTGAATACTCCGTGAGCTCCCCCTCCCCCCGGAAAGGAAACGAGGGCTATTCGATCCTTTATTGAAAAGTCTTCAATGGCTGGACGTCCATGGACTCCTCAGCGCCGATCCTGTCCATGCAGCTGGCCTCGTTCAACTGATTGCATTGAGGGGCGGCTTAGACAATATCCAGACCACTGGTCTCGCGGCCATCATATCATAGTAAGTTCGCCTTTCGCCGATCATTTGTCTGTCCACCAACGCTGTCGGGCCATTGGCAGCAGGAGATCGAGCAATACGCACCATCTTTGAGCTGTGTTGCACACGTGGGACCTCCAGCGGACCCGGATCAGCCGGCGTCCTTTACTCGAAACGGCAGACGTGGTCATAACTTCTTACGATGTGTGCCGAAACGACAACAATATTCTCACACCCATCACTACTATCTACTATCGGGCTGTCCGGCATCAGGTCGCCACCATCACCCATCAGGTATCAGGTATTAGCCAAAGGAGACTCAACCTCGACAACTCACAGCCCTGAGAACTCCAAGAGTATATATGTACTGTGAGAGTTCAACTCGGATGGAAACAAGGCTCGCTACAGCCCATATCACCACGACCACGCCATGCCACAGCAGAGCACAGCATACCCATCACTACCGGGCCTCGGACCTAGGGCTATAGGCCAAGGGCCATGGGCTGTTAGGTAGGTATCCGGCCGGTATCAGACACCATCGGGTTATCCGGTATCAGGTATCAGCTCGTCAGGTATCAGCCCATCCGCCATCGAGCTATTAGCTACCATCAGCTATGCGGTATCTGACCAGCTACGCGCTATCAGGTATCGAGTATGGGTCATGGGACTATCAGCTAAGGGCTCTCAGGTATCAGCCATCAGCCATCAGCCATCGGACTATCAGCCTCCATCGGGCCACGGGCTATCTGATCAGCCATCGACTATCTATCAAGTATCAAGTATTGGCCTCAGATATCAGCCACGGGCCACCTATTACGTATCAAGGGTCAAGTATCGGCCATGGCCATGAGAATATCAGATATCAGACATCAATATCAGCCATGGCATGGTATGACATGGCCAAAGGAGACTCGGCTCAAACTCGCACCACCCGAACTGAGCACTCACGAGTGACACCCCTGGAGAGAATCCGGCGCGAGTTACGTTACAGACACCGCCATCATCGCATCGGGGCTACAGTACAGGCGATGTTGTCGGGCTATCGGGCTATCGGCCATGAGATATCAGCTATCAAGACAGCAGGTATTAGCCACAAGAATATCACGTCCAAGACAAGGTATCAGCCATGAGAACATCACCCAAGGAAGACCCAATACACACCCCGAGAGTGTATATATACGCCCTTGGCCGCCCTGAAGGAAGGCAAGGCTCTACACGGCCCATATCACCACCACTACTACACCACCAGCAGGCGATCAGCGATGAGATATCGGGTATCAGGTATCAGACAATGGGCTATCATGTATGATATATCAGATATCCATCAGCCAAGGGGAGACAGACTCAATTCATACTGTGCGAGTACATTTGGAGAAAGCGGACACAACACACAACGCCGCACCGCCACAACTATCGGGATATGGGCGATGGGCTATGGACTGTTGAGTATCGGAATATCAGCTATCACCCCATCAGGTATTAATTAGCCCAAGGGAAAGGAGACTCTTGCACCTGGAGAGTCAAGTCGGTCCACCCTTGGCCGCCTGGAAGGAAACAAGCAAGGCTCGCCGTGGCCCATGTCACCATACACCACCATTCGGACCAAGGGCCTGGAGGCTATGGGCTATGGGCTATGGGCTATGGGCTATTGGGTATCAGCCACCGGGTATGAGGTATCGGGTAATTAGGTTGCAGGCTATCAGGCTATCAGGCTATCAGGCTATCAGGCTACCAGGCTATCATGATTTCAAGTATCAGCCATCCATCCATCAGCCCAAAAGAGACTCAACCCGTCACCACCAACAACAGCGATGAATGAGCCGAGAGCAGATCATGTATTTAGGTAATGAGATCTCAGTTCAAGGGGGAAGACTTACACCCCGAGAGTACATGGATCCTAAAGGAATTGAGGTTTTGGAGGCACAAAAACACCACACCACCTATAATACAACATCGAGCCGTAGAATTATGAGCTATTAAAGCATTAAGCTATCAAGTATCATGCATCACGTACCACATATCAATTATCAGCCAAGAGAGACTCAATCCGCTCTGTGTGGGTGAGCATCCCCGTGGACGGCGGTGATGTGCCACTCCGAAACAAACAAAGGTGTGTCGAAAAGGGAGGGACTTGTACCGACAGGGAATCAAGTAGATATTGGCTCATGCTACCATAATATCACTGCTGTCACTATCACTACCACTGCCATTACCACCGGTATCGCCATCACGGGTCAAAGGAGAGATTTCGGTCAGCCACCCTGTGGATAAAACATAAAGAAAAGACGACGCAATCCCGTGTCACGCCTTCACCGTCGTGTCAGTTCTGTTGTCCATGACCTCTGCCATGTTTCTACTCTTGTCCATCTATTCCGCCTTCTTGTCCGACGCCGACCCCTTTGCGGCCATCTCGGTTTCTTCATCGTCGCTCGGGGAGACGCAGGTGCAGGGGTCGTGGGTCTGTCCGGTGATGACTCTGTAGTGGCAGGTCTCATCGGGGTCTGTGTTTGGGGGCTCGAGTTGGTGGTAGTTCCCCTGTTCATCAAAACGCCCAACTGGACGAAGGTTCCTGAACGGGTTTGGAGTTCCAGGTGGCGGCATCGTATCAGGATGAACCTGTTGCGTCATCCCGAACACTGCCTTGAGGGCTTCCTCAGCGAGTTCACGCATCACTGGGGGGAAATCGACGTTCGGGTTGGCTTTGAAAACGCCGGGGCGTTCGAAAATGTTGCCGCTCTTGAAAAGATTGTAGCGTTGGACCATGTCGAGCGGTAGGCAAACTTCTCCGGCTGTAACCAAGTCATCTTCATCCTCCCATTCGGACTCGGACTTGGCCTCGGCAGTAGGGTTGCGAGGAGCCGACGGACCAGGTGCTTCACCCTTGAAGACAGTCTCTTTTGCTTTATCCTTGCCCTTGAAGACAGTCTCTTTTCCTTTTCCCTTATCCTTGAAAGTAGGATGGCGAGGCTTCGACGAGCCAGATGCCTCTCCAGTGGAACCGGTCTCAACGGATTTGCCCTTGGCATCAGCAGACTTGCCCTTGGTGTCGACAGCAGATTGACCCCGGTCAGAACCGCCAGACTTCGACGCCTTGGGCATGAAAGGGAGCCCACGGCCTTCAATCTTTGTGTCCGTATTTGGCTTGACTGGACCCTTGCTGGACTGGCCCTGGTCGCCCTGCTGTCCGAAATGATCCGACATTGTTTTTTGAGTCAAGATGATCTGACTCGGGGGGGTTCGGTTCGGATGCGGAGGTTCGGTTCGGAAGTGAGATCTGCGGCCCCCCTTGTGTCAGCAGTTGTGCCACGCCATCTCGATCCGGAAGTGAGACATACCCAACAAAGCACCGTTCGGATAGGTGCAGGCTCTGTTATCTTGTCTGGGAGGCCCACCTCGGGTAACGGCGTAGTGTCTTGTAGTGTGGCGACGGTGTCAAGACTAAAGAGTGGTAGGGAAGAACTAATGAAGTCTTTGTGAAGCTCTGGTGGGGAGAAAGTGCGGTCCAAGACTCTTGGCAGGAGCGCACGTGGTGCATTAGTGAACTGTAATGATCGCGCCATCGACAAGAGCAACCTTCTCACCGGCAGGAGCGGCAGTGTCTGTGGGTTTTTTGCTTGCACGGTGCGATACTATACATATCCCATCCATTCCACTGTCTCCGCTGGTCTGCTTTGTTCTTCTTCTCACACAGTCCTGGCAAAGTCCTGGACTTCGCTCTACCTTGCACCAACAGACAGCCCTGGATTTCGCTGTACCTTCCTCTGCTGACAGACAGCTCTGGACTTCGCCGTACCTTCCTTGGCTCGCTGTACTTGCCCCAAACGTCGAAATGCTGTTGCCTGGACTGCGTTTCAAGCTATCCACGCTCCGCCATACGACCCTCCAATCACGCATCCATTAATGCTGGTGCCTGCGTTGCGTGCCACTCCCTTTGTGCTCCGCACTAACTCGTTCTACTTTCCTCCGCTGCACAGCACCAACCGACACGCTCGGTCTACTTACCCCCAACGTCGAAATGCTGCTGCTTGGACTGCGTTTCGAGCTGTCCATGCTCCGCCACACTACCCTCCAATCACGTATCCATTAATGGTGCTGCCTGCGTTGCGTTTCACCCCCTTCGTGCTCCACGCTACCAATTCCACCACGTGATTATCAAGTAACGAAGCCTCGTTCTCGTGCACTCCCAGCCTCGTGTCAACTGCGTTCTCGGTCTGCGCTGCTTTTTGCCTGCGGTACCTGCGCTTCAATGCCCTGAATTGCTTGCCTGCGTAGCATAATGTATGCTGTAGCACATGTTACCCCAATCTCCGCTCCCTCCGCGCGCCCTCTTCTCGCCCGCCCTCGCCGTCTCGCGCCCTCGCCGTCTCCCCGCGGCGCTGTCTCTCTCATTCGCCAGCCATTCCCCCCCGCGGTTTCTCTCCCTCCCCATCCGTCTCCCTCCGCTCGATAGCTGCTCCAACGCACTCGCAGAGATCCCCATTCCCAATGAGTGCCCCCTTGAAGCCTTCCTTCCTGTACCCCATAGCCCATACCGCATGCCGTGTCCGGCACCTGGTTTTCCACGATCCACGACCACGAACATGAAGAATAAAACTGGAAGAAGAACAAGAAGATGATGAAGAATAAGAGAGCCTTAATCATGTAAGCTCCGATCCAGACCAGACTAGACCAGACCAGACCAGACAGACACAGGCCTGGAGGGAACACAGCCCCAGAGGTAACACAGGTCCGGAGGGAGCATAGGGCCTTTTGTATACCTGTATACCTAAAACATGGAAACATAGAAACATTGAACCATGAAAACGTGGAAGATCTCGAATGTATCCAAGACAGAGCAGTAACGTAGATAAAGGGCAATCAATGGCTGAACCATGACCACGAGAATGAGAATGAGATTGACAATTGGAAAGAACAAGGCTCCATCTTGTAGGCTCTCCAGTAGATAATTCAAGACAAGACGAGGCAAGACGAGACAAGACAAGATCCCATCGGAACCCAGGACCTCAGGGCTCTTACTTCCTGCGTGGATATTTCGGAGAAAGCAGCCGCAGGTCGAAGGCAATGTAGAGGGCATGACTCGGCGGGGAAGAATCGTGGCTGGGAAGGAGAAATAGAAGAAGGGCTCAATCGCGCAAGCTCTCCGGTAGACAATAAAAGACAAGACGAGACGAGACCCCGTCGGGACTCTGGCCTCCTAGCCTCCCTCCATACCTCTTACTTTTTGCTTCTTCCTTGGATATTTCGGAGAATGCGGATGCGGATCAAAAGCAATGTCAGTGACTCGGACGGGGAAGAATTATGGTTGCGAAGGAGACAGAGAAGAAGAAGAAGAAGGGCTCAATCTTGTAGCTCTCCGGTAGATAAGAGGCAACAAATGACTCTTCCTCCTTCAAAGGCTGGTCCTTCTGCACCGGGGGGCTCGTCCTCACGCCCGGCCGGAGGTTCGTCCACGCATCCCATGCTGACGCCCACCTCAAGCGCACGCTGAGGTCGATCGATGCAGTGGTGCCGAGTCCTCTCCGCTGGCCTGGCTGTTGTGTCACACGTGTGTTATAGTCGGAACAGGGGATGCTCGAGGATAACTTCACGTACGGGATACGTAAAGCTTGTCACCTGTAGCTATTTTGAAGTATTAATATCCCGGGTTGAGGATAAAAGACAAGACAAGACTTCATTGGGACTCTTTGCCCCGGGCTTCTTACTACCTTGGATGTTTCAAAGAGAGCGGACGCGGATGGAAGGTGATGTCAGTGACTCCGACGCAGGAAGAATAGTGGTGAGGAAGGAGGAGGAGAACAAGCAGGAGAAGAGTTAGTTAGCCTTACAACCTCTCCGACCGACAAGGCAGACACAGACCCCATGGAACGGGACTCGGGCTCCTTTACCTGGAAACAGGGAACCTTGGAAGAGAGCGGAGAAAGAAGAGACAGAAGAGAGAGAGAGAAGTAGCACATATCGAGGGAATGTCAATACCATGGCCACGAGGATGAGAATTACTTGGGGAAGACGCAGAAGAAGAAGACGGAGACGAACACGGAGATGAAGATGCAGAAGAAGAAGAAGAAGAAGAAGAAGAAGAAGAAGAAGAAGAAGAAGAAGAAGAAGAAGAAGAAGAAGAAGAAGAAGAAGAAGAAGAAGAAGAAGAAGAAGAAGAAGAAGAAGAAGAAGAAGAAGAAGAAGATAATGAAGAAGATAATGAAGAAGATAATGAAGCAGAAGACGAAGCGAAAGAAGAACGGCTCAAACTTACAGGCTCGAGAAAGACAGCACCAGACCGAACAAGCCAAGATCACAAGATCCCATTGGGGCTCTCGCCTCCTAGCCTTTTCCCTTCTACCTTTTCTTGCTTCTTCCTTGGATATTTTGGAGAGAGCGGATGCGGACGCGGACGCGGATCAGAGGCAAGTTAGGAACTCGGCCGAGGAAGAATAACAGTTGGAAAGAAGAAGGGCTCAATCTTGCAAGGGTCTCCGGTAGACAGAATACAAAACAGGTCCCCAGGCCTCTTGCTTCTTACTTCTTCCATGGATATTTCCAAGAGTACGCACGCAATCGAAGCCACTGTCAGGGACTCGGCCGAGGAAGAATAACTTGGGGGGAGAAGGAGAAGAACAAGAAGGAGAAGGAGAAGACGCATACCCTTATTCCCTTGCCAGTGAACTCTCCAGGTGTGAGTGAGCCGAGTCTGTCGTCCTCTTGGTTGATATCTGATATATCATGGCTAATACATGATACCTGATAGTCTAACAACTTGCTAGCCCATGGCCCGATATCGAGCGTTGTGGTGGTGGTGGTGCTGCTGCTGCGGCGGCGAGATGGGCTGCGGCGAGCCATGTTTTCCATCGAATGAGTGCTCTCTAAATCCCCTGACGAGGAACAATTGGAGAGCAAGACTTGTCTGGTGAAGGATTGTTCAGTTCTGAACTGCTGAAGCCAGACAAAGTGGGTGATAGGTGAAGACCGGCGAAACAACCTAGGTCAGGGGGAAGGCCAAAAGGGACCCTGGCGTCCTACGCTGATCCCGAACAGAACACCACAGAGTAGGGTGCCTATGTAGAGCGCGTGAAGGTGTCGCGCCACTGCCACCCGAAAGGGTGTCGGTGACTAGAGCATCTCTCATGCAAAGGTCACCGGGGATTTCCCCCGCGTGGGAGAGTTCCGATACGTCCAAGGCCAGCAGCAGCTGCGGTAATTCCAGCTACCATAGCGTATATTAAAGTCATTGCCGTTAAAAAGCTCGTAGTTGAACCTTGGACCTGGCTGATCTGTCCTCCTAATCAAGCGCACGGATTCGGTCGGGTCTTTGCCTTCTGGGGAGCCCCGAGTGAACTGAATTCTCAGAGTGTGAATCAAGTCTTCCTCGGTTGATACCCTCATGGCTATCTATCGGGCTAATGTCTGTAGCTTTGGCGGTGTCAGGGTGCGCTCTCAGGGTGGTACGAGTTTGAGTCTCCTTTGGCCATGCCACGGCTGATACTGATATCTCAGCGAAGGCCATGGCCAATGCTTGATACTCTGATAGATAACCCATGGCTGATAGGTGATGCCTGGTGACTCGATAGTGTCTCATACCGGCTAGATACCTAACAGCCCACAGCCCACAGCCCATGGCCTATAGCCTATAGACCCGTAGCCCATAGCCCAAGGCCCGAGGTCCGATAGTGATGGTGTGCTGTGGTGTGCTCTGCTGTGCTTTGTAGACCTTTAGATTTTCCCTTTTAGGCGATTAAGATGACTCGTTTAAACGTGCCGTTATAACACCGTTTTGTCAATTCGAGCGCCTGGGAAGACGCTGTCTCGAGCCGGTCTTGCAGGGTTAATTAGAACTGCAGTACTAGGAACAGGCGGTGTTGAAACGTTAGCCTGAGGCCTCGACTAGGGATCCCACTGGGGGGGTCTTTTTCCTGTCGTGGGAATGACAGTTATAGACTCAGGTGGCACTAGAGTGTCCTCTGCGAGGTCGTCAGCGGTCGGAGACACTGCCCCTGAGGCTGTTAGCGTTTCTATAGGTCGATTTTCCTCCAGGAGGCGGTGAGAGGGGGTGGGTCTGTCTGTCTGTCTCCCCTTGTTGATATTCTTATGGTTAATACATGATATCTCATGGTCGCTAGCCCATAGCCCATGCCCAACCACCTGGTGCTGTGGTTGTCAGTGTTGGTGGTTGTCTGCAAACCTTGATTCCTTGCAATGCAGACATTGTGCTTGTTCCTCAACCCAGCGAGTCTCCCAGAGATCAATTGAACTGGTCCAGATGGAAAAAAGGACCTTCTCATGCTCATCATTAGCATCGACACGGCCGTTTTTGGTGCTTGGGCCCCAATGATCTCTTCCTGGATTTGCGGAAATGGCTGAGGAGTGGCACATGTCCTACACTGCGCCATTGGCATCTCGTGCTCCGTCACCCTGACCGAAAGGACGCCCGTCGACCGGTCATGCGAGTGTACTTCTCGCGAGATGTGAGGGGGATCGCTTGCAAGCGGAAATTGGTATCCAGTACTAGTCCGATGGCGAATACCTCGTCTCCAATCGCTCACGGCGTATTACTCGCTGCTGGTGGTGTTATGGTATTGTGCTGCGGTGTCATGGTGAATCGAAACCAGTGGCCTGTATTGTGTCGCCCGTTTGACCACCTGGCGAAGCTGCCGGACTTTCTGTGGGCGCGAAAGGTGACAGAACGTCCGAACGCGATAAGTACCATCACGAAACACCCATGATCAAGAAAACACCGAACAGTTTGCCCAGTAATGACGACGCATTTCGCATCGAACTGTTGATCGTTTATTCGCGGCCGCACGTCGCAGAATTCACTCCAGAATGATGTCAATTCTGCAACGGATAGATCCTCGGGAGAAAGGCCTTCAAAGCGATGACAGGCTCTGCAGTTGAATTAGTAATGCACTCTCTGAACCCAGCTGGAGAGATATGTATGTATATCAAAGACAAGGAACCATGTCCACTCCAAATTCTCTCCAGTGCATCCCTGAGCTGACGCGGTTCGCGGTGACAATGGCTTGATCAACAGCGAAGAAGGCTGCGTGTGTGATGCGAGTAAGACGGTGCCAAGGAAGAGAGAGAAAGTGTAGACGCCACGAAGAAAAGGAAAAGGCGAAGATCGGAGGCTGAAGGAACAGACGCCGCCATGAAGAGGAGGAGCAAGGAGAAGGAGAAAGCATCAGGGTCACATTGGTCTGCCTTCAAGAGCCACCAGGCATGCTCATATCATCATTTACCACACTATGACCGATCATTGCAGGGAATGGGACTCGTGGGACGCAGAGGGTGGGCGTGTGTGTTGAGACTGGGGGTGTCGACAGGCATGACTTTGCCGAAGATGAAGTGTTTACGGCCGGTCAACCCATTGACATGATCACAGTAAACACTGCCCAACAAGCCGCTGTTGGTGCGCGGGCCGTGCTGATCCCGTATGGCTTTCGAGGAAACGGAGTACCTGTCCACTCCATTGCTGGACCGCGACCGGGATCACGAGACGAGGAGTTGTGTCTTCAAGGTCTTCAGAACGAGATGTCTGAGAGGATGTGGTTGATCTGAGAAAGGCCCGCAGGGAGCTATAAGCTTGGTACAGAGGTTGGGCAAGAGTCTTGTGCGTATTCAATTGCAGGGACCCCCGGCAGTGCATTACCTTCACAATGGCAGCGATCTCCTGTTGCGGCCAAAGGCAGGACAGAAATATCGCCTCGAGCAAGAGCGCTAGCAGGATTGATATCACTCAGATCGTATCCGGTAGTTCCATTACTCATTGCAGGAGCAACAATGTCTGCTAAACTTCCAAATCCATTCGCGGCTTTGTATGCACCCTTGTAGAGACTCTCCATTCCGCGTCGGCGACCGGCAAGGTATTTTGGTTCTGGCATCCTCTCGGCCACGGCAGCAGGCACCTGAACCCATCTATTGACTTCTAAATATCGTTCGTTTGAGCCAGAGGTTGCTTTGCGGCGTTTGGGATCCGATGCTGGACCTTCGACGTCCATGAATAAGATCAGCATTGTCTTGATCATTCTTGTCTTCCGATTTCCAACACGACAACTCGTTGGTTTTCGATAACTCTCTCGGTACCGAGTACTTGCCTTGGATATATCGATAAAGTATATGATGATAAATAAAGTGCCGATATTATGGCAAACCTCCGAGATCAATCAATGACTGACAAGATATTGTACAAGGACTCGTATCGGGAAAGTATTTTCTTGTCCAGACCACCATCTCTGACCAAGTGATGGCGCCGTTTTTCTACCTTGGAAGTCGTCAGATTCAGGGGCGGAACGAGACGGGTCGGTCGCTCGAGATGGGAAGACTGCTCCAGCCAGGGGTGTGGGCGTTTCTGGACGTAGGACAATGAGAGTTGGCGAGTGCAGGAACAAGAAGCGCAGGCCAACGCGGCTGCTACCGCTCGTCGTGGAAAGGCGGCCGTGGTCGAGGGGGACATGGACGAGGGGGACATGGACGAGGGGGACATCGTACGAGGGGGACATGGACGAGGGAC